TGTGGGGTGGAGATATCCCAATCACCATTTCCATATATTGGCGAGAGCTAAGCAGAAATGTCTGCACTGAAGATATAGATGGGGGAGTGATTAGCATATAGACAACAATTGAAGCTATCTGGGCGGACGTGATCACCTAAGGAAATAAAGGAGGAAAGAGCTTAGTGGCTTGGAGCCTGTGCTTTGGAATTAGCCAGGTTTGGGGTGGCATTCCAGCTCTGCCTTTCACAAGCTGTGTGATCTTGGACACATGACTTCACCTTTTCATTTCTCTGTTTTCTCATTGCTAAAATGAGAATAATAATAATACCTACATCCCAGGGTTGTTGGGAGAATCCAAGAAGTCACATTCCAGTAAAATGCTTAACTCAATGACTAGGACTCAGTAACATTCCATAAATAGTAAATTCTATTATTAGCAGCACCATGGAAAACATGGGTGAAGAGTGTTAGGAAGGTGGGAATGATCCCACTGTGAAATGCTGTGGAGGTCAAGTAAGACACTGAAGAGTGTCCTTGGAATTTGAAAATGAGTAGGTCACGGTGACTTTTCTCGCATAATTTTTCAACATATATCATTTCTAGTATAACTTCAGTCATGTAGTAAGGACATAAGCTACAGGGTTCAAGGAATGTGTACATGCAGGAAATAAGGAAGTAGAGACCAATCATTTACCATGAAAATGACCAAAAAAACAATGGCATTGGGAGAATGGGAAGCTGATAGAGAGTTGTAAGGAAAATTTTTAACACCAAAAAAAATGAAAGAAGATAATTCCAGAATAATAGGCAGTATTTTAAATTGAGCAATTGTAGGGACACCTGGGTGCCTCAGTCATTAGGTATCTGCCTTTGGCTCAGGTCATGGTCCCCGGGTCCTGGAATCGAGCCCCGCATCGGGCTCCCTGCTCCACGGGAAGCCTGTTTCTCCCTCTCCCACTCCGCCTGCTTGTGTTCCTTCTCTCGCTTTGTCTTTCTCTGTCAAATAAATAAATAAAATCATTTAAAAAAATAAATTGAGCAAATGTAGCTTTATAAGAAACATCTTTTCCAAATATTTCTAATTTTGCCATAAGTGAATGAAAGCTTCTTCATGCAAGGATGCTGACATATGGAGATGAACGAGATTGACTTCATTTGTTCAGCAGCCATTCAACATGTATTTATTGAGTGAGGCCCTATGCTAAGTGCTAGGGATATACTGTTGAACAAAAAGGTCATGGACCAGCCTTTATGGAGCTTATAGACTAGCTATAGACTTTGCCGGGGGGGGGGCGTGATCCAACAATCTTCAAATATATAGTTATGAATTGTAATAAGCAGTATGAAAGATATGAAAGAAAAATGCAGCATGTTAAGACTTATGACCTAGAAAGAGGGTCAGGGCAGATTTCCCTTAGAGACAGTTAAGCTGAAATCTAAAAAAATCAGTAGGCATGGTGTACATGAAGAGGGTAGGCAGGGTAGAGTACTCCAAGCATGTGTGAGGCCTATGGGTATTCAGGAGCATGGGCAGTATCTGGGACTAAAACTGTTCGTCAGAACAAGAGCAAGCGTGGTGCAAGGTAAGGTTGACAAGGTAATGGGTAATGCCAGATCAGGGCCTAGTAGGCCATGATAATGGATTTTAACTTTGATTTTTTTTTTAAGACTTTATTTATTTGACAGAGAAAGACACAGCGACAGAGGGAACACAAGCAGGGGGAGTGGGAGAGGGAGAAGCAGGCTTCCCGCGGAACAGGGAGCCCGAAGCAGGGCTCGGTCCAGCTCGATCCCAGGATCCTGGGATCATGACCTGAGCCGAAGGCAGACGCTTAACGACTGAGCCACCCAGGTGCCCCTTAACTTTGATTCTAAGAGCACTAAGAAACCACTGGAGGATTTTCAGGAGGGCAACATTGTAATATTTGTATTTCTGAAAAATTATTCCTGGTCATTGTATGAAGAGAGAGTGGGTGGAGGGAGAAACAGAGGTCAGGAGGCATGCTAGGAGGCTTCAGAAGTAGTTTAGGTAAGACATGGACCAGAGCAGTACTAACTAGAGGAGATGGAGAGAAGTAGATAGATGTGACAGACTTTGAGATTTTTTATTTTTTAAGCAATCTCCATGCCAACATGGGACTCAAACTCACAACCCCGAGATCAAGAGTCAAATCTCTACCCACTGAGCCAGCCAGGCACCCTTGTAACAGTTATTGAGAAGACAAACTGAAAAGAACTTGGACAAGAGTCTCAGATGGGACGCCTGGATGGATGGTGGTTCCATTTAACAAGAGAGACTAATTTGGTAAAGAAGTCATATATTGAGAAACACATGAAATTTGGTTGAGAAGTGAAGGAGAGCAAAAAATTGGTAGCTAGAGAAGCTGGCAGGATCAAGTGAAGGCACGTTAAGGGTGATAAGAGAGATTCATAAATGTACAGATATATAGACTTCTTAATGTTGAAGTGCCCAAGAGCTTAGCTCATGGTCTTTATTTGCCCTTACTTTTTTTTTTAGATTTTTTATTTTTAATTAGTCTCTACACCCAACGTTGGGCGCAAACCCACAACCCTGAGATTAAGAGTCCCACCCTCCACATACTGAGCCAGCCAGGCACCCCTACCCTTACTTCTTTATGATCTCATCTACTGTCATGGTTTTAAACATGGTTGACCCTTGAACAACATGGGTTTCAACTGCAATCTCATTTTTTCTTAAAGATTTTATTTATTTATTTGACAGAGAGAGGCAGCCAAAGAGGGAACACGAGCGGGGGGAGTGGGAGAGGGAGAAGCAGGCTTCCGGCCGAGCAGGGAGCCCGATGTGGGGCTCGATCCCAGGACCCTGGGATCATGACCTGAGCTGAAGGCAGACGCTTAACGACTGAGCCACCCAGGCGCCCCTCTTTTTTTTTTTTAAATGCAGTGCAGTACTGTAAATGTATTTTTTCTTCATTTTGATTCCTTAATAATATTTTCTTTTCTCTTTTAAATTGTAAGAATACAGTATTAATACATATGACATATAAAATATGTTGACTGTTTATATTATTGGTAAGGCTTCTGGTCAAAGTAGGCTATTAATAGTTAAGTTTTAGAGGAGTCAAAAGTCATACATGGATTTTTACATGTACAGAGGGGTCGGTGCCCCTAACCCCAGAATCGTTCAAGGGTCAACTGTATACCTATATGCTGACAACTCCCAAATTTACAGCTCCTTCTCTCCAGAACTCCAGGCTAATATGTCCAACTTGTTATCTGAATCTTGTTCAGTTGTCTAATAGACATTTAACTTAACTTATGTCCTATTCTTAACCCCAAACCTGTTCTTTCCATAGTTTTCCTTATCCCAGTTAATGGCAATGCCATCTTCAACTTGCTCAGACCTAAAGCCTTGGAGACATTTTGACTCCTTTCTCTCTTTCACACCCTACATTTTGTTGGCTCTACCTCCAAAACACATCCAGAATCTGACCACATCACATTACCTCTACTGCTACCACTGTAGGGCAAATCACCATCATTTCTTTCCTGGGTATTGCGAGAGCTTCCTAGCACATCTCCTTACTTATAACTTTTCATCCTCTCCCACAGTCTAGCCTCAATTAAAGTGATCCTTCTGATACATTAGTCAGATCGTGTCCCTCCTCTGCTTACGATGGGGCAATTGTTCTCCATTCCAGTCCAAAAATGCCAAAGTCCACAGTGGTGTACAAAGCCCTACACAATCTCATTCCATTACTTCTTTTTTTTTTTTTTTAAGATTTTATTCACTTGACGGAGAGAGAGAGAGAAAGCACAAGCAGGGGGAGTGGCAGGCAGAGAGAGAGGGAGAAGCAGGCTCCCTGCAGAGCAGGGGAACCCAATGTGGGACTTGATCCCAGGACCCTGGGATTATGAACCAAGCTGAAGACAGTTGCCTAACCAACTGAGCTACCCAGGCGCCCTCATTCCATTACTTCTGCCCTTCTCTCCTAGTACTCTTCTCTTCACTTACTCTGTCCAGTCACATCCAGCTTCCTTGCTGGTCCTCATATTGCTCAGGCACACTTCTGCCTTGGGCCTGTTCACTGACTGATGACTATTTCCTGTTTTTCCCAGACATTCATATTGCTAACTCCGTCACCTAAAGTCTTTGCTCTAATAACAACTTCGTCCATGGAGCCCACAGTGACCATATTGTTTCAAATTGCAATTTGCCCCATTCCCACTTCCTGATCCCACCTACTTTGTTCTTTTACTTTTCCATAGTACCCATCATCATCTTATGGATGATACACTGCAGTTATTGTATCTATTTAGTGTTGAACGTCCACTATCATTGCCACCCTAGCAGAATCCTTAAGGGCAAGAATGTTAATCGGACTTTTTTCCCTGATGTAGTCTAACGTATACCCATGACGGTACCTGGCATAAAGCAGGTGCTCAATAAATATTTGAATGTATCGACAAAAGCAAAGAAGCCAGAAGAAGGGGAGGTTGAAGCTGTGAAAGGGGTAACTAATAGACCAAGATCTCTAAAATACAAACGGGTATGGGGCCAAACACACATACATGGAATTATCTGTAGTGGTAGAATGGCACTTACTCAAAACCACATCCTTTTTGTGGGTGGGGGGAGTTTGTTGATTTTTTTTCGCAACCTATTTTTGAACACAATTTGTTTTTTCAATACCACATCTTAACGACACCATTTAGAGCTCTTTCTCGCTCGGTCCCCCACTCCCTGTGTTCTTTGGGGGCCCCTACTCAGCACAGGCGCTTTTAATCAATTCTGAACCTCGAGTGTCCAGCGAAGTTCCTGACACATACACACTACGTGCTCAGAAGAGGTCGTTGGGTAAATTAACCAATGTTTCCGTATCCCCAACTACTTTAGGGCTCGTAAAGAGGAGACTCGGGGCGTCTCTCCCTCCCGCAGCCTTTAACACCCACACCTCCCACTTAACGAGAGCTCAAACCGACGTCCAGTACTTATGTAATAAGAGAGCGCCCTGGCGGAGGGCGGGGGGACAGGGGAAGAGGCCGATTGAGCAAGCTCCGGGCCACGTGACGAGACTGGGCGGGGCATCAAGGTTCATATCCCAGAGTCCCTTTGTACCTACTTCCTTTCTGTCCTTTTCCGGCGTTCAAGATGTCGAAGCGAGGTGAGGTTTTGACTCTTGAGTATCCTTCGCCATCTGTCGCGAGGTGACTGCTGGCCTCTCCCGGCGCGGCGGCCATGGGCAGCTGGGGCGCTTTGCTCTCCTCCGGGACGGAGAGGGAGAGGAGGGCGCCGTGAGAGCACTGGAAGGGCCCCCGAAAGCGGCGGCGGGGGGTGCCTGGAGAGTGAAGTTGGCAGGATCCGGACAGGAGTTTAGACCAAACCCCGCGGGGTCCCTCTGCACCTGGTGCTTCAGTAATGGTATTGAAGTGAGACTGGCTTAGGCCCCAGAGTGGATGCCTTGTGCCTTGCAGGGAGAACTACGTGGTGCAAAAGTTGGAGCGAGGATTGAGTGGCTCAGGCCCCTTAATCGTAACGTGAGCGCGGTAATAGTGAGGAGTTGGCTGTGGGAACCGGGTGGCTCAGGAGGGGTAGGCGGAGTCCCAGAGAGAGGGAATTGAGTATACCGTTGCCCAGAGCATGTGCGAGTGAATTCATGCCTTGAGAGTGTGAGGGAAACTCGGAACCAGGACTACTCAGTGACCCCTGTCCTGTTTTCGTTCCTATCCACAGGACGTGGTGGGTCCTCCGGTGCGAAATTCCGGATTTCGCTGGGTCTTCCGGTAGGTGCCGTGATCAACTGTGCTGACAACACAGGTGAGATCTTCAGCTGCGCTCTGCCAAACTCCCCCTTTTAAAAGCACTCGGTGGGCCTTGACTACTGACCCACTGAGCCGTCAAGAAAGGGCAGAGTAAAAACACTGCTTTTGGGTGAAGCAGCAGCATGTTGTGTTGGTTTGCTTCAATCGGTGGTGTGACAAGGTTTTCCGCCTTGGTTGGGGGAACTAACCGTTTGGGAGTATGAGTTGAGGGAGAGGCTTTGGAAGTGCCGGGGAAACGTTACACCGCCCCCCCAAAATCACTTTTGTTTACATTATCCATAGGAGCCAAAAACCTGTATATCATCTCTGTGAAGGGGATCAAGGGACGATTGAACAGACTTCCTGCTGCTGGCGTGGGTGACATGGTGATGGCCACAGTGAAGAAAGGCAAACCAGAACTCAGAAAGAAGGGTGAGTAGAGACACTGAATCCTCCTTACTGGGTGAACAGTTGAAGGATTTTTCCCTTTATTGGAAAATGGAATAATAATTTTACCATTCTGAAGGCTTAAAGCTTGATTTCCTTTGAGACACAGTGTGAGAGAAATATCTGCAATGGAAGTTCTGCTTTTGCTGTCCTAGAGACTATTCTCTCTCCTACCTGGTCTTGCTGTATTTGTTTCCTTTTTTTTTTTTTAAGTGATCCCTGTGCCCAGTGAGGGACTTGAACTCATTACCTTGAGATCAAGAGTCGCATGCTTTACTGACTGGGCCCCCAAGCACCCCATTGTTCTATTTGTTCTTGCCCTTTTACTCCTTAAATGTATTTGCCACACTGAAGTCAGAGCCCATCTTTTAAAGATGTAAATCTCGGGGCACCTGGCTGGCTCAGTTGGTGGAGCATGGCTCATTGCTGATTCCTTGGCTACAAATGGATATGGCGGTATTTAGTAAATGTTTAAGTAATCTCTGCACGCAGCGTGGGGCTCGAACTTATAATCCCAAGATCAAGAGTTGCACACTCTACTGACTGAGCCAGTCAGGCGCCCCAGTAAATGTATTTTTGCGGGAGGAGGCGTTTAGAGTTTGACCAGGTGTCAGGCAAGTTTCTTTTTCTGGAACCACTGATTTGAAGGGGAAGAATGATAACTTGCATACTTTCTCAAATGATTGTGAGATTCAGGTAATAAGTTAAGCACAGAGCATTTGGCTTGTGACCTAACACTTAGTAAGTATAGAATGACATACCTCCTGATTTAAGAACGTAAACAAAAGTGATTTTTTTTTTTTGGCCGGTGTAACATTTCCCCGGCACTTCCAATTTAATTAAGATTGTTTTTTTATAGAGATTAACTCAAAATTGTGACTTGTCAAAAGTTATACATGGTTGCTTCTAAATCTTTTCTGGTAGAAACTAAAATAAGGGGCTGCTCATTGCTTAATCCCCCTAGGAGTGTAAGTTGAGGGGGGAGGGTTTCAGAACACTTCTGACTTGTAATGTCTTGTCTGGCTTTGGAGCTCCTGAATTTTCCTCCTGTTCTGCTTAGTCTGTCTCTGCCCTGGGATATCTTGCTCTTCTGAAAAGTCCTAGCCACCTCTTGATGGACAGTACAAATATGGGCTTGGTCAGTACAAGTTACTCTGTGTAGGCCTGTACAAGCACCCCTCCCACCCCCTGGTGTTTTTTGGGGGGGGGGTCCAAAGTCTTTGTTTACCTTTAATACCCACTTGAGGGCTTGGAGTGCCAAGCATTGTGGTTAAGCATTGATTAATCAGCGTGTAGATTGGGATCTGCATGCAACTGGACAGGCTTTCCTCTTAGAACACTTGCTGGGTCTGATTTATGGCCCGGGAAGCCGTCAGAGAAGGGCAGAGCAGTCCACTAGCACTGTTGGTGAGATGGCAGCCGGGTGTGTTGTTGGTCTCTATCAGATTGTGGTGGGACAGACCAGAGGTGGTTTGAAAAATAGTGAATTGCCAACTCTATTAGTCTTACTTGTCCTTGTTTCTGCTGAATGAATACATCCCCTCACCTTAGACTTACATATAACAGACAGAAATGTGGAAAGGGGCAGTTCTGGAAGTCCAGAGTCCTGGATTGGTGTGTGGCCTCACTCATCTACTAGAGTGGTCATTTGTGAGAATTTAAATGGCTATGAGTAGGGGCGCCTGGCTGGCTCAGTCAATAGAGCATGTGACTCTTGATCTCCGGGTCTTTGTTTTTAAGATTTTATTTATTTGACTGAGACAGACAGAGAGGGAACACAAGCAAGGGGGAGGGGGAGGGGGAGAGGGAGAAGCAGGCTTCCCGCTGAGCAGGGAGCCCGATGTCGGGCTCGATCCCAGGACCCTGGGATCATGACCTGAGCTGAAGGCAGACACTGAACAACTGAGCCTCGCAGGCACCTCAAATTAAATTTCAATTACCCTACTTTCAGATTTTCAAGAGATGATCGCTGTTAATATTTTGTTGCCTTTTTTTTTTTTAAGATTTTATTTTATTTGAGAGAGGGCGAGCACACAAGTGGGAGGGAAGGGGCAGAGGGAGATGCAGACTCCCCGCTGAGCAGGGAGCCCGATGCAGGGCTTGATCCTGGGACCCGGAGATCATGACGTGAGTCAAAGGCAGATACTTAAGCAACTGAATCACCCAGGTGCCCTGTCTTTTCTTTTTGCTTTAACGTGCAAAAAATTAGCTTGTAAACTTTTTAAATGGGACCATGGCCTTCCCATAACTCGTTCTTTTTGCTGCATAGATGATTGTCCTACATGTGAAAAGTTACAGATAGACATAATCATTTTTAAATGATTCTGTTTTTGTGTATTGGCCATGAGATGACCTATTCCAAGTTTCTGCTCTAATAACACATGTGCCCGCAGTTGGGCATTGAGATAAAGGTGTAGGGTGTGTGGTCAGGATCCTGGGATGTGCTCCTGGGGTTCAAGGAGTGTGAATATACAGATACGCGCATCTTTAGTTGTAGGTTTTCTTTGGTTGAATTTGTATGTAAGTGAGCTTCTCTTAAAATCTAACATGGTACATATTTAATCCCAACAAACTTCCAGAGTAGTAATTTTTAGATCAAGGTATGTATGTACTTGGAGGTTTTGATATATACTGGGATGGAATATTGCCTAATGAGTTAATAGCTTGACCTCTACTTATGCAGGCCAAAAGGGGTTCCCATTTTGTGGTACTGGGATCTTTTTTTTTTTTTTCTCTTAAGGTTTTATTTATTTATTTGACAGAGAGCGAGACAGCAAGAGATGGAACACAAGCAGGGGGAGTGGGAGAGGGAGAAGCAGGCTTCCAGCTGAGCAGGGAGCCCGATACGGGGCTTGATCCCAGGACCCTGGGATCATGACCTGAGCTGAAGGCAGATGCTTAACAACTGAGCCACCCAGGCGCCCCTTGTGGTACTAGGATCTTAACAGTATCTACCTGTTGGGTGAAATGGGAACAAGTATAGAAGGTGCTTGGCAAGTTTCCTGCTGGTGTGTTGCTAATTGTTCTCAAGAGTACAGATTTACACTTGCAGGAAGTGCTGGCTGTTTTGACTTGGAGTAAGGTCTTTCCTTAAGGGGCGATTGGTATTTGCTCTTTCACACTTGCTTTTAGGAAATAAAAAGCAAACGGTGAGTCTACATTCTGTTCAAGTGGGAAATGTTGGGGAACTGGATGAGATGTAAACTGCTTTCTTGTGGTGTCACTTACTTGACAGGTAAGTGACTGCTGTCCTGTTTTCCCTCTTAGTACATCCAGCAGTGGTAATTCGACAACGAAAGTCATACCGGAGAAAAGATGGTGTGTTTCTCTATTTTGAAGATAATGCGGGGGTCATAGTAAACAACAAAGGTGAAATGAAAGGTAAGAAAGAAACCACAGTGTTGCCTAGGTCTTTGAGATGGGATGATTTCATCTCTGGATCTGATCTTATCTGTCATCTCATTCTTTTTTTTTAATGTAGGTTCTGCTATCACAGGACCAGTCGCAAAGGAGTGTGCAGACTTGTGGCCCAGGATTGCATCCAATGCTGGCAGCATTGCATGATTCTTTGGTGTATTTGTTAATTAAAAATTATTTGTTCTCAGTGTTTGCCTTCTTGTTCTTTTCTACCTGTCACTCTTCTTGACACCCCCTAACCTTTTGTAAAATGAAATTGCTCAGTGCAGTACTTGTGCTTTGTGACTGTACAGAAACTTTCGGACTTTCCAATTTCTGCTGTAAAAACTTACTTGTGTTTGGAGTCCTTACAAGAGTAAATTGCAGATAGTAGATAGTGTTTGGTGAGAGGTTACCCCAAGTGCTTAATTTGAGATAAGGTGGAGTGAATGGTCAGATGGTGGACACACATGGAGTTCACAGAGTGATGTGAGGAAGGACCAGGCGCGTGTGTATATATGCACACTTGCAGTTACAGGTTTTCTTTGGGTAAACCAGCACATAAAGGACTATGTTTGTAAAACCTAACACATAATTGCCATGTAAATTTGCTCTTGTGGAAGATGTTACTAAAAGTACCTGCATTGTTTTTGCTATCAAAACGTTTTGACAGGATAGCTGTATAGTGTACCTGCCAAACCCTAATTCATGAATAAAAGGTGATGTAATTAACCAACAGTGGGCGTAAACCTTGGCAAATTCTGCTGGAAGGCATCGGATACTGTTTTTCTTCCTAAACCCTTTATTTATGTGACATTTGGGGCCTGAGGGGAAAAAATGAGCATTCAGCAGGTTTGGGTCAATAGTCTGGCCTAAAGATGTTGGAATAGGCTTCTTAGAACAAGATTTGTGTTCACACATCTAGTATCTGAAAATACTCAGCCTTAGGTGTTCTTTGTAAGGCTGAAGTTTAGAGGCTGCCTAGCACATACTCACTTGGTAAGATGACCACCCTTTTGTCCTTCAAGATTCAGAATAGAATGTACTAGACCTAATCAGTGGTGCTCAACCAGAGGAGTAAGGCAATAGCCCAGACCCAATTAAGTCCGATTGTGGAGGGAGGACCCAGGCATCAGTACTTCTTAAAGTTCCCCGGGAGATCCCTAGGTGCAGCCGAGATGGAGAACCAGGGCTGTCTAGACTGAGCCTATCTTGGTTTTAGGAATATTAAATCCAGAAGTCTCTTAAAAACAGATCTGTCTTCCTACCCTATGCTCCACCCTGGTGAATTTGAAGTCTTTGATGTGACGTGAAGCCTGCAGGTCCTCCATTTAAAATTCTTTTTGCGGTACGTGGGTGGTTCAGTGGGTTAAGTGTCTGCCTTAAGCTCAGATCACGATCCCAGGGCCCTGGGTCGAGCCCAGCATCAGGCTCCCCCACCCCACGCTTGTGCTTGCTCGCTCTCAATATCTAAAAAATTAATAAAATTAATGCTTTTTATCCCCTTGTGGTGAGCTCTGTATGAAATGTCTCATCTTCCTGCTTCAGATAAAGAGGTGTGAGGGCTGGGCCTCTTTCCCTGCCTTTTCTGTCTTCCAGGTTCTTTCCAAATTCCAGTAGAATGGACTCAAAAAACTATAGACTTAATTTCCTGTAATTTCAGATTTCTAGGAATTTACCTGTCATAGTATAGAAACATTAAGTATGCTGAGCGTTAAATTGCTAGGATTAGTGGGGTTTGTGTATAGATGCAGTACATGTGCCTTTGGGGCATCCGGGTGGCTCAGTTGCCCAGGTTATGATCTCAGGGTCCTGGGATCGAGCCCTGCCCTGTTTGCGGAGAGTCTGCTCCCTCTCACCCCGATCCTGCACTACTCTCACGGTCTCTCAAATCTTAAAAAAATAATGTGCTTTCATATAATAGTGAATATAAAAGATTTCCCTGATCCTTTTGTCTCGTGTTCTGTCTCGTGTTAGGATAATAGCACCTCATAGAGTTGGTGTGAGGGGCACTGAATAAGGCACCTTGATGTGTAAAGCATCTTTGTAAGGGGTTTATTGAATTTTGGAAATAAAAAGTAAAAGTTGCCTGTAATCACAGCAACTAGAGGAACTCATTGTTAATGGTTTGCTGTATCCTGTCACATCCACAAAATTAGAGGAAAACATGGCAATGTGTTAACCTGCTGGGTTTTTAAAAAGATTTTATTAGAGCCCGAGCTGTAGGAGGGGCAGAGGGAGAAGCAGACTTTCCCTGGGCAGGGAGCCCCATTCGGGCTCTCCTGGTTTTTAAAAAAACTTTTGACAGGAGGAGGAGGAGTACTGGCTGATGAAAACAATAAGGTGGGGAGAAGTGCTTTAAGTGGACTTAGTGGGAAGTCGGGAGACCTGAATTCTGGTTCTGGATCTGCCACTAAATGGATTTAGGGAATATCCCAATGTTTCTGAGCTTCAACTTAGAATTATGAAAAATGAGAGTTGGAAGTAGATGGTATCTGAACTCTTTCTGATCCATTCTGGGTACCAGTTCTTCCCCGGAAATGAGTTTAGTAAATGTATATAGTAAGGAGGGGAGCGGGCAGGAGGAGGAGTGGGCCTGCGTTCGCACCCCTAAATTCAGAAATACCCTCTCCAAAATCCAATGCCTCCTGCATTGGTCCCCTCTTAGTCACCCTTCGCCTCGGGGCCTTGCGAGTGACTTAACCCCACAGCCCTGAGAGCCTACCCTGTTGGGTGGGACGGTACGGTTTGTGTCACAGGAGTCTTTGACACCGCACCACGTAACAATGCGACTAATGCACAGGGGAGCCCCTGCCTAGCTAGGGCCCTCCACTCCCACCAGAAAGGCCCTTGGAGGCCGCAGTGGTTGGGATGTCGCACTTGTGCGAGTGTCCTCTGCGGCTGGAGAAGAGCTTCGTCTTGGACGGCGTGGCGGTGAGCACCAAGGCCCGCGCCCATGAGCGCCTGAGGCCCAAGCTCTGGTCGGCGATTCCGCCCTACAACGCCCAGCAGGATCACCACGCCCGCCGGTACTTCCAGAGCCACGTGGTTCCGCCCATTCTGCGGAAAACCCAACAGGTTATTAGAAGAGCGCCCCGGACGATCCCACCGGCTGTCCCCGCAGAGCTTGACCCTGGTGGCGGGGCGCGACTTCCCAAATCCGGGCATCTTACCTCTTGGGAGGGCTCCCCATTCCCACTCCCGCCCCCTCGGCTTTCTCCATGAAAGGGAACTAGCGCAGGCCGCTGACCCGGACTGAGCTCACTGAGCTCGCGGAATCACTTTCCACCCCCGAATTTGAGAGCGATCTCATTTGGGGTTTCTGCAAACCTTAGGGAACGGGGCTTGAAGCCCGCCTCGGCCAAACCAATCGGTTCATTGTCCTTTTTGACGTTACGGACCCGCAGATTCTCTAAAAGCGCGAAAATCCTTGTGACTTCAGCGAACGAGACAAAGCAACGCCTAGACCCTCCAGGCGGGGCGCCCTCCTTTGGTGATGTCACAATTACCGGGGCCGAGCGTGGGGGGGGGGGGGGGTGGAGGCTCGCTCGATGGGACTTTCTGTGAGCGGGTGGGAAGGAAACTTCCCAAACCTCTGCGGACCTCGCTTCCCCCCGGCCTTTTCCCTCGTGGGTGTTGCCTCTTCTCCTCAGCCGAGTCCTACCTGGGATCAAAGATCCTTACCTTATTGCTGATGGCTGCTACTTCTCCCAACACTTTTGCCTCCAGTGTTTGTGTACATATGTCACAGTGGTATGGGGAGGGGACAGGCGGGGTTAATGGGGGTTATTCTGCGAACAAATCTTGGTGTGTGTGTGTGTGTGTGTGTGTGTGTGTGTGTGTGTGTGTGTGTGGTCTAGGTGTTTGGGTGTGTGCATTGCATGTATATGGACCCGTCTGTGTGTCCCATGCCGGAGTATGTACGGGGTCTCTACTGGCCTAATTTTTATGACCAAAGGAACCAGAGAAAAAGAAAAACTTGAGTATTTAAAAGCTTGAAAATAATATGATGTGCACAATTTGGAAACTTTCTATGTTCCATTTTATAAGGGTTTAATCATCACGACTGTCATTTTTACATTTATCATTTACATAAAGATAATGGGGTTTTTGTTTTGTTTTTAAGTAAACTCTGCTGCCAACGTGGTGATTGAGCTCAGGACCCCAAGATCAAGAGTGGCATGCTCTGCGGACTAAGCCAGCCAGGAGCCGCATGATATTGTTTATTTTTAAAGTAAATTAGGGGCGCCTGGATTGCTCAGTCGGTTAAGCGTCTGCCTTCAGGTCGTGATCCTGGGGTCCTGGGATCCAGCCCCACCTGGGGCGCCCTGCTCAGCAGGGAGTCTGCTTCTCCCCCTGCTCCCCCTCCCCCTGCTCATTTTCTCCCTCTCTCAAATAAATAAAATCTTAAAAACAAAAAGGAACCTTTACTATGCCAGGCCCTTTATTTGAATTATCTCACTTATGGGGCGCCTGGGTGGCTCTGTCGTTAAGTGTCTACCTTCGGCTCGGGTCATGGTCCCAGGATCCTGGGATGGAGCCCTGCATCGGGCTCCCTGCTCCGCGGGAAGCCTGCTTCTCCCTCTCCCACTCCCCCTGCTTGTGTTCCCTCTCTCGCTGTGTCTTTCTCTGTCAAATAAATAAATAAAATCTTTAAAAAAAGGATTATCTCACTTAAATCTGACAGCAACCCTCCTTTTACTGAGGAGGAAATTGAGGTCCAGAAAAGCTGTGTCACTGGCCTAGGGTCACACAGCCTGTGAGTGGCAGCGTTGGGATAATAACCAGTCTGTCTGGCAGCAGACATTGAGCCTGTAACTGCCCACCTAGGCTGCCTCTCCCTGAGAGGCAGTAGGTCACTATGTGTATTCATATTTAAGCTGTCTGGCCTGGCGACCCCTGGCTGGGACCTCGGCTCTCTCCCCTTGCAACAAGCCCAAAGAGAGTTTTGCGTGTGCACCTCTCAGCATGGTGGCTGACAGTCTTGTGTTTTCTCCCTCACTCTCAGGATCACGGTGGCACAGGAAGAGACGGCTGGATAGTGGATTATTTCCACATTTTTGGGGAAGGACAGAGATACCTGAACAGGAGAAACTGGGCAGGGGCAGGCAAGTGCCACCTGGCTTTTCAGCCTCGACGTGAACCCCCCCTGGAAGAGTGGCGTGAGGTCCCCAGTTCAGAGAGAGAAATCAGGCCACAGAGAGCCCTGGTTTGGGGGGGTGGGGGAGAGGCCTTGGGACTGTGTCCCCAGCTTTTCTTCTCAGACATGAGCCGAATGGTGTCACCATGCTCCTTCTATTTAGGGACTAAACACCTGCTGTAGGTCAGGTGGGTTTTACCCTCACGCTCTCCCTGCGCTCCAGCTGAGCAAACAAGTGTAGGGAGGTAAAGTGACAGGCTGAGGAGGGTAGCTGGGATTGGAATTCCACTCTTTCCTACTCTGAAGCCCATGTTCCCCTCCCTGCTCCCTCAACAGGCTGTGTCCTGCTGCTTTTCCAGGCCCAACTGAGCAACAGGAAAGGAAGGGTTGAGAGAGGTTTTTCCGACAGTGTGAACCCTCCACCCACCCCAACCCCAACGCCCTTTGGTCACACTCTAGTCACATGACCCTTTCCACCATTTGGCCAAATTGAGCTCATCCATTTTCTCCGCATGGGTCAGAAGCAAGGGTGAAATATTTTCAGTCTTCCTGGGAGCAAGGCAAGTTCAGCCAAGCCCAGAAGTTTCTGTCCTCTCCTGTCTTAGCACATAGCATTCACGTTCCTCCTGTGTGCTACTCCTGGTATGCAGGTTGGTTTCTAGAAAGCTGTCTGTCTCCTGGACTTCATCAACCCTTGGCTTTTAATCAAGAGGCTTGAGACGTTTGAGGATGGAGGGTTCAGCGGGGACATGGGGAGCACATTCTATACCAGCCCCGTGGGAGCAGGGGCAAAGCAAGAGGGGGCTGAATGGGGGCTCAGGCCTCTCTCTCTGCCCCCAAGGGCATTCCCTCCAGCAGGTGACTGGGCATGATCACTACAATGCTGAACTGAAAACGATCAAGGGGTTCAATGGTCGGTTTGGCTATCGCCGGAACACCCCAGCCCTCCGCCAGCGCCCGTCTGTCTTTGGAGAGGTCACCCAATTCCCTCTCTTCTAACAGCATCTCTTTCCTTCCCACCCCTTGACCTGAATAGAAGACGGATGTTTAGATGAATTCTTAATGCTATTTATATATAAACAATGATGTTATTTGTGCCTCCAAGTGTGCTGTTTCTTTCCTGTGGTTGGGGGTGGGGGCTAGTTTCTCCACCCTCAGCTTCTCTAGCCTTTGGAGAGGAGGTGGGAGGAGAGAGGACGTCCTCAGACCTGTTCCCTTACACTCCATGCCCACGAGTGCCAGGCTTGAAAGGAGGCCTCCGTTCTCCTGGGCCCATGTCAGAAGAAGGAACGATGCTGAGCACCTCAGCCTCCACAAAGCTCAGGGAGCAGCAGTGCCCCAGGCTAGAAGCTGGCTGCTGTTTGCCCATCAAGAGAGGAGCAGGCGGTTTGTCCAAAGAGATTGTCCTTGGTTGCCCTGAGAAGGATTTCCTGATTTTCCTGAGAGTCATCCCAGCCAAACTAACTGACATCTTCCTTCTCCTTTCCACCCTCAGTCCATCAAGAGTCAGGGCAGTGAACAAGGGGATATCTGGGGTTGCTTTTTAGCCTCTGGATTCTACCATGGTAATTCTGACACAGTGCTTGTGGACATTTTCTCCGCTGGTGCTCTGTCAGTTTCCTTTTCAGCTAGTTTCCAGGATGTCATTTTTCAAGTGTCCCCACCCAGTTTATTGGTGGCCAAGAGAAAAGGCAAAACAGATGATGGATACAAAAGAAGGTGGAGCTTTAGAACACAAAGCTCGCCAGAGCTCCAGTGTGGGGTGGAACCTGATGGTACTGAGTCACCTTCAGTGGACAAAGAAGAGAAGGCTCCCAGGGCACGGGGGTATAGCTCAGGGGTAGAGCATTTGACTGCAGATCAAGAGGTCCCCGGTTCAAATCCGGGTGCCCCCTTCCTCCTCCCTTTTTTACTTCCATTACATGGAAGCAAGGAAATGCACTGTACCTCTCAACTCCCAGCCAGAGTTAATAGAGAAGACAAGGAACTCTCAACTCATTCTTGTACTGAAACACTACTAGTTTCCCCTACATTCCAGTGACACTTAGCTGAGACCCCTGGAGGACCCCGTTGGGCTTCAATTAAGTCAAAGTCCCGAAGAAAATTCTAAATCTAAAATTAGGTGTGAGAGGGGTGCCCAGGTGGCTCAGTCTGTTAAAGCCTCTGCCTTCGGCTCAGGTCATGATCCTGGAGGCCTGGGACCGAGCCTCGCATCGGGCTCCCTGCTCAGCCAGGAGTCTGCTTCTCCCTCTGACCCTCTCCCCTGCTGTGCTCTCTCAAATAAATAAAACTCTTTAATAAAGAAATAAAATAAAATAATTAGGTGTGAGAGCTATGAACACAAGTTTAGCAATCTGATGTCAATCAGTTAAAGAGGTTCATACAACATGTTTTTTGAGAGAGCTTGCAAGACAGCTGTGAATGAAAACATGAAATAGGGCCCCTGTCCTCAGGGAGCTTTGTGTCTGCTGGAAGTCAGCATGTTCACACAGCGGTCAGGGGGAGACACTTTGTTTGTAGCTCAAGGAAGAGACATCTTTTTAAAAATACCTACCCACCTTTTCTAGACTAACTTCTTTTGTTTTTTTTTAAAAGATTTTATTTATTTATTTGAGAGAGAGAGAGAATGAGAGATAGAGAGCACGAGAGGGAAGAGGATCAGAGGGAGAAGCAGACTCCCCGCTGAGCAGGGAGCCCGATGTGGGACTCGATCCCGGGACTCCAGGATCATGACCTGAGCCGAAGGCAGTCGCTTAACCAACTGAGCCACCCAGGTACCCTAGGCTAACTTCTACCTGAGGCTTTCCTACAATTTGAAGGGACATGTCTGCCTGATCTGAAGAGTTTATTATTTCTGACACTGTGCAATTCCCTCTCTGAAAGGTTAGGGGCACTTTCCTCTTAGTAGTTTTTTTATTATTAAAGATTTTATTTAGGGGCGCCTGGGTGGCTCAGTTGGTTAAGCGACTGCCTTCGGCTCAGGTCATGATCCTGGAGTTCCAGGATCAAGTCCCACATCATCGGGCTCCCTGCTCAGCAGGGAGTCTGCTTCTCCCTCTAACACTCCCTCCTCTCATGTGCTCTCTCTCTCTCTCAAATAAATAAATAAAATCTTTAGAAAAAAATAAAGATTTTATTTATTTGAGAGAGAGAGAGAGAGGGAGAAGCAGACTCCCTGCTGAGCAGGGAGCCCGATGTGGGGCTTGATCTCAGGACCCTGGGACCATGAGCCAAGCCAAAGGCAGACACCCAACCAACTGAGCCACCCAGGCGCCCCATCTTTCCACTTTTTTGTTGGCTTTTAGATTTCAGTTTTCTCATGTGCCCCAAATGCTTTTTTTGTCGTTACATCCTGTTCTAGTTTTATGGGTACCATTTTTTCTCTTGTTTCTTTAAAATAATGGTTGTTTCTGAAGTGTTCTTCTCCAAGCATTGCCTTTTTTCCCTCTAATAGGTTGAAGGCCATTGGAAGCTCTGTTCTTGGGTAGGCTTGTTGACTAGTGAACTCCCTTGTGGGCTCTCCAACAGTGACCCAGCCTTTTCATTTGGGAACTTCCAAATGTCTATATCTGTGGGTCACCATCTTCCCTGACTCCTTGGGCCATTCGGTTTCTCCATAGAAAAATCCTGAGATCTCCTGCCTGGGATATCTCCTTGATGCTGGCATCTTGGGAGCAGGAGAAGAATGAGGAAGGGTATTGGTGACCCCACTTTTCAACATGCAGACTTTTGTTTAATCCCCACTGCTATTCTGAAAGCCCTTGGCCACTCAGTTGGAATTGGGGCTCACAGATGCAGTTTCTCCAACAAATCTTTCACCTGTGGGACTGGAGATAGAGATTAAGGATCTTAGCTGTTCCGTATACAGACTTTCACCCAAATTCCCTATTTGCTCCACTCCTCAGCCCTTCCTGGTGATGCCAAATTTTCTTCTCAGGAAGTCTACTTTCCCTCACACATTAAACAGTTCTCTTCTGTGTCCCTCTCCACAGCTCTCACTGTTGAAAACCACCATTCCACTTTCTATGAATTTGACTACTCTAGGTACCTCATGTAAGTGGACTCCTACGATATCTGGTTTTTATGTCTGCCTGATTTTACTTAGCATAAAGTTTTCCAAGTTCCCCAGTGGGGAAGCATGTCAGAATTTCCTTCCTTGTTTTTTTTTTTTTTTAAAGATTTTATTTATTTATTTGAGAGACAGAACGAGAGATAGAAAGCACGAGAGGGAAGAGGGTCAGAGGGAGAAGCAGACTCCATGCTGAGCAGGGAGCCCGATGCAGGACTCGATCCCGGGACTCCAGGATCATGACCTGAGCCGAAGGCAGTCGCTTAACCAACTGAGCCACCCAGGCGCCCCAAGAATTTCCTTCCTTGTTAAGGCTGAATAATGTTCCGTTGTATGGATATATCCCATTTTGTTTATCCATCCACTGATGGACTCTTGGGTTGCTTCCACCTTTTGGCTATTTTGAATAATGCTGCTAGGAAGACAGATACACACATAACTGTTTGTGTCTACCTTAAATTCTTTGGGGTATATACCCAGAAGTAGAATTGTTGAATCATATGGTAACTCCATGTTTAAGTTTTTGACGACTGCCATATACCCAGAGAGATTTTTTTTAAAAGATTTATTTATTTATTTATTTAAGGGGGGAGGGGGAGAGGGAGAGAAATCCTCAAGCAGACACTGAGCAGTGAGCCCGACACGGGGCTTGATTCCAGGACCCTGGAGATCATGACCTGAGCTGAAACACCCAGAGAGATTTTTAAACTATTGATGCCTAGTGGAACCTAGCTTTCCGACTTGTTTCTCTCCCAGGTGACATTAATGTGCACCCAAGATTGGGAACCACTGGCTCAGTTGGCACTTGGGTTTCAGCTTCCTCTGCTGTGCTAAAGTCACCCCCACCCCTCCTTTCCATCTTTGAAAACTGTTTGGCATGGTTCTTCTGTTCCCTGTCCATTCTTCTCTTTGTCCTTTAAGAGTTATACACTTTAAGAGTTTGGAGAGGGAGTGGAGATAAATACATAATGATCCATAGAAACTTGTTGCTCTATGAGAAGTATTTATATATGAATTTTCAAATGTATATACATGTGGCCTATCTCTTAGGTTGAAATTTCTGAGGAGCACTCGAGCACTTTGGCATATTTGCTCTCTCTTTACGGTGGCCGAGAAAGAGTTTTCTTGCATTCTTGTATTCATTCACTCATTTGTCCATAGTAGCCAAAATACAGCATGACTACTATGCTAGACACACACCGGGTCCTCCATATAGGATGGGAGTTGTCTGGATTGCCTGGGTGGCTCAGGTGGTTAAGTTAAGCATCTCACTCTTGATTTCGGCTCAGGTCACGATCTCAGGGTCTTGAGATCAAGCCCGGTGTCAAGCTCCATGCTCAGTAGGGAGTCTGCTGGAGATTCTTTCCCTCTGTCCCTCCCTAGCACTTTCTCTCTCTGAAATAATAAATTAATTAATTTTTTAAAAAAGGATGGCAGTTGGGCGCCTGGGTGGCTCAGTCGGTTAAGCAACTGCCTTCGGCTCAGGTCATGATCCTGGAGTCCCGGGATCGAGTCCCGCATCAGGCTCCCTGCTCGGCGGGGAGTCTGCTTCTCCCTCTGATCCTCCCCCCTCTCGTGCTCTCTATCTCATTCTCTCTCTCAAATAAATAAATAAAATCTTAAAAAAATTAAAAAAAAAAAAGGATGGCAGTTGTCAGTGACCCAGTAAACATAATTCTACCAATACACATATTTGGTCAAATGAAAGGTGTCTTCAGTTTCTTGCCCTTTTTATGGTGTTTCTGTTTTGACAGACACATGCCGGACAATATTTGAAGTTGCTTTCAACACACCTAGCCACCTCCACCTTCTCACCCTAGTAATTAAAAGGCCATCATTTAAAATAAGTATTGCGACAGTGAACACAAGGTGGCCTCATTACAGAAGCTTTCATCACACAGCAGATAACTACGGTTAAGCCTGCAGGAGACTATGATTTCAGTGACATCCTGAAGTGTGTACTATTTAAGACTCTTTAGAATACAGGAAGACTCACTTCTTAGTAACCAGGGAACCAGTCACATGCTCTG